ACACACACACACACACACACACACACACACACACACACACACACACACACACACACACACTAAATACACACACCTGATCAAATACCAGAGTAATATCATCAGAAAAACAGAGATGAGAGGAAACTCGGCTAACACACACAGAGAAAGAGAGAGAGAGAGAGAGAGAGAGAGAGAGAGAGTGTGTTGTACCTGCTGGTGCGCGTCTGCAGAGTGTGTGTGATGGCGGGCAGGCCGCTGGAGACGGAGTAATGCACCAGCAGCAGGACGGACAGAGAGACGAGCAGCGCAGAGTTGACGAGGACCGCTCCTCCAACAAAACCAAACACACACAGCAGCATGCAGCCCGGATTCATGACTGACACACACACACACTCACACAGCTCGCTCGCTGTGTGTGTGTGTGTGTCACTGCAGACTCTCACTGCTCTGACATCACACACCGCTCGCTCGCTTTCTCCCTTTCTGTGTGTGTGTGTGACTGCAGACTCTCGCTGCTCTGACATCACACACACACACGCACACCGCAGCGGCTGAGCTGTTGTTATTCCGCTGCTGCTTAATGAACAGCTCTTATGCAGGAAACAAGGCTCATTATGTATGCGTTTTCCGGGCTCATTCACACAGCTGATTGGTTGTTGGAATGGAGTCTATGCAGATTAGGGAGGATGGCTTTGTCCATTAATAATAATGGAATAAACAATAATAAGTTAAATAAACTTGAAAAAATTATCAAAATAAAAGCATGATATTTACATAATATTAACATGAAAATATTGTTTTAAACTAATAAAAATTAAAGAACTTTGATAAAAACAAGTATAAAATTTAATTTAAACATTAAAAAATAATTGTATAATTAAACATGATAAAAAAAAATTTAATTTTATAGTATGAAATAATGCACAAATACATAAATAAACATAAAATATCAAGAGACTGATATAAAATAATAATTATATGTTATTTCAAGTAGCTGCTATGGCAATACTGGTCTCACTCCATTAATTAATGCCCTAAAATAATAATAAATAAGTAAAAAATTATAACAATTAAACAAAAATATAAAATGATGTTAAAATAATTTTAAAATAAAAAATGTAATTACATTTTTTTAAACTAATAAAAATGAGAGAACTTGACTATAAACAAGTATCAAATTTATTTTTAACATTAAAAATCATTTTATTAATTAAAAAAAATAAATAAATATTATACTATGAAAAAAATGCACAAATATATAAATGGACTAAAAACATGAAGAAACTGCTATAAACTAATAATTCTCTGTAATTTTAGATAGTTGCTTTGGCCACATTGGTCATTCTCCGTTAACGTATGTCCTAATAAATAAATTAAATCAAGATGCTACAATTTGATTTAAACTCAATACTAAAAATCAAAATAAATGAATAAAATAATACTTTTATTAATTTTATTTTAGTCAGCTGTCAAATTTCAAGAAAATCTGCATTTCTGGCTTTCTCTGCTTAATAAACATCTCTTATGCAAGAAACTGAAGGCTCATTATGTATGCGCTTCCGGGCTCATTCACACAGCTGATTGGTTGTTGGAATGGAGTCTATGCAGATTAGGGAGGATGCTTTTATCCATTTGAAACCACTCAATGGAAAAATACATTTAAAAAAATTAAAGAAAGAAAATTTTATTAATAAACAAGAAAGAAGAAAAAAATTATGATGAAATATTAATATAATACAAATAAAAAATATGAATAATTAATAAATGAAATACGAATAAATAAAAAGGAATAAATCTTTAAGATAAAAAGGCAAACATCTTAAATAAACTCAAAATATTATGTAACTGATATAAAACTTAACTATTTTTAGCTAGTTATATACGCATTAAAACTGAAAACTAAAAAGAAAATGAAAAAGAAAAATTTAATTAAAGAAAATATATTTTAACCAGCTGGAAAAATTACAAGTGAATCAGCAATTTCTGGTTTACATTTGCCTAAAGTTGAACAAAAAATAAATAAATATATATATATTTTTTTTTACTTTGCAACATTTTAAAATTTCATTTTAGATATATACATTAAGTAAAATTAAATTAATAATAATAATAATAATAATAATAATAATATAAAAGTATAATAATAATAAAAATATAACAAAATATAAAACAAAATAAAATATTTTCGCTAGTCACAAAAGCAGTATTTCTCATTTTTACTTTCTTTTATTTCAGATTTAATTTACAACAACTACAAAAACAAACCACAAAAATACCAAACAAACCTGGATAATTTATTAATTAAATAACAAGAAAACTAAACACAAAGACGCTACTTCAAAATATTCTTGTTAACTAAATGCTATTGTATAACATAACATTGATATTTATATTTATATATATATATA